GACTGCTTTCCTTAAATGAGCCTATATTTTTTAGAAATATGACAAACAAAAATTCTATTTGACACATACAATAATAATGTAAGATATAAAGATAAATTATCTTCCCTGCAGTATGCAATATATCTCAAAGTACAGGAAATTTCAATAAATTGCAACGTATCTGTACACATTCTTTTTTCCAGTATGTGATGAAATGCTATAGTTTTTTCAACTTGGTTCAATTTCCTCTAGGCTGCTACCAATAAATTGATTAAATAAACATCTATGCTGTAAATAAAATGGTGCTACTGTATTCACTGTATTGTATTCATTGTTTTGTGATGGAGAACAATTTGTTTCCCTTCCATTCCCCCACCCCCCCGCTGAGCAGAACGGTATTCGGGCTGTGGGCACAAGGTGAGTGGAACAGATTTCTGAGAGTTTTGAGTGTAATCTCAGATCTACAGACATACATCTGTTAGTCTTTACGCAGGTTTTGGATGGCTGAATTAATTGCATTAGCTAAACATGAACAACATCATTATTTAAACACGACCTCTCTTCCTGAACCCGTAAACAAAACCCAGCTTGTTTCAACGTTAAACTAAACAATAGCAGCAGGTTGTATTTGCCATGTAAGGCTGTCTTTAATGTTTATATCATCTATTATAATGAGGCTCTAATCCTGACCGGAGCCTCTAAGTGCTACTCAACAGAAAAAAAAAACCACCCCAGAATAATGACTATATTAATTTTCTTTTTAGTAATACATGGCCCCGGTAATTCCACCAGAACAGCTGGCACCATGATTTCACTTATCAGCAAAAACCGACTAAGCAGACTGTTATAATGAAATCTCATGATATTAAAACGTCATTACAGTTACGGCCGTTACTGCTATGGGTACGCTATAGAATAAAACATTTCACAAAACAAATGATGAGCTAAACAACCCTCCATACGATCACAGAACAAAGTACTTTCTGAGATGCCTGGATCAAGTAAGAGATACGTTACCCCGAGGCGAGGAGTCCTTCTGCCACAAAGGGCACCTCGGGCAACGCCACAGCTTTGGCCACCTCCCTTCCCTTCCCCGCACACTGAGGTCATGGACGACCTGCCTGTGCCAGACCAGGACAAGCTCTCCTCACACCTTTAGCCAGTGTGACTGACCCCAGAGGATGCTGTGATTCCACGGCTTCGCCGCGCCGCCGCTGTCCTGGGGAACGCCGTGCCCACCCTGTATCGCCCTAGTCTTTAGTGTGATTGAGAGCCCTTCCCACTTGTTTGCCATTTCATCCTAGAATACAAACATTACTTTGTGCACTATAATAAAAGGCCATTTCCCCCAGCCATTTCTGTATTTTATGCTCCTGCTGTTCCTTCTCTTCTATAATATATAAAATATAAGTGCTACTTTTCCCGTGCTGCTAAACATACTGATCAAATCGCAGGGAGTTCTAATGTCATTGCTCCCTATATATACTCATACTCAATTGTGACTTAATATAAAATTAAATATTTATAAATTATAAATAATTTATATAAGATATAAATACTCATATCTCTACCTGATTTCTCATTGTTGATGTTTTTTTTTTTAAAAATACCCTTTGTAGGCTTGTTGTTCCTCACACTTTTAGTGGGAATATTTCTGTATCCAGAGTTTTTTTCTCTCTGTGTTAAAAGATCTGGGAGGTGGCTCCTTCAGACAGCGAACAGATGGTCTCACGTCAGCCTACATTTTTTTCTCCTCTTCCTAACTGGTCATCAAAGGCCAATCAATGCCCAAAAGGAGCATTACTGTTAATACAATCTAAATATTTCAAGTGGAGTAAACAAGATAGCATCAGACACTAAATCAGTATTATTTTTCCCATAGTCAAATACCTCCATGGTTCCCCAAGGAGATCATATGACTCAGATGGCTGCCTGGAAATACTTGTGAGCTCCAGAATAATGACATTTACATATAAACACAGAGAAACAGATAATTAAAAGTGCTGAAAGGGGAAAAAAGAAGTTCTTGAGGAGCAATATGCTTTCTTCCAAGGATCCCAACAACCTTTAACAGTATAATGCCCTCAGTATCTACATTAAAGTCTCCTCATCCTTCACCCAGTCATGATGCAGACCGAAGCCATGAATTAACCATATGCCAGGGTAACTGAGGGGCAGGAAATTTTAGGGGGAGGGGGAGAACAAATAGGCAGGGTGCTATTTTCTAGAACTGTCATAGTATAATTTCCAGAAATCTTCTCTCAAGCACAGAGGAAGAGAAAGCATTTGTGAGTAAATTCGGGGCTTCGGATACATGGCAAAAGGAGTCTTAAAACTTTAAGAACAATTAGACTATTTTTTTTCCTTCTTTAATTTCTCTCTCTTTGGCTTAATCCAGCATTTCAGTAGGTTGCTGGATATACCAACTACTTCCTGCTGATACAAGAATGATGACCAGGGACCTAACAAGGGTGATGGCTGAGTATGTACGACTACAGATCCATCTACCAGACACAAAGTTGGTATCTTACTAGACCTTAACTTACAAGATAAGTTACAAGCTGGGGTTTTTTTTCTGTCTCTTAAAACCCCCAAATCCTTCTTCCTATGGAAATTTGCCCTCTGTAATGATGGAAACATTTTGTGTTCCTACAAATCTGGGTATTCCATTATATTTTATTTTACAATTACACTACAAAACTATACTGTGTATACTACATTTACAAATAATACATTTCATATGTCTATCACATCATTCTTGCTGAACCATGACTACAGGGAATGAAACAGGGATTTCCTTTACCTTAAGCCACAGAATTTTGGTTGTAAAAGCCAAGCACCAACTTTCTCTAAAGAACCTTGGATCTACAGGAGCCATGAAAGCTCCACAGCACCCGATGCCTCTTTTTAAGCACAATCTGCATTTTGGAATATAATGTGCCTGTACCCCTTTTCCAGCTAGGGAACAATTCTGACAAATACAGCAATCTTGTGTTGGTTAGGTAAGAGCACGTCATTAGCTTTACAATCCACTGCTGTTCACGGTATTAGTGTCTACCTTTATTATTTTGCAAAAAAAATGAATAGGGTGCCATTTCTTATTGAAATTGTTAAATCCCGGGTGAGCTGGAATTAGTAGAACATTTTTCTCTTGTTGAAGACAAAATAGAACCTAATTACTTTTTTCTTTTAACACCAGAGGACGCATAAACAGCAGACAAAATGTATGTAAGAAACAATCTGAAGAAAAAACAGTAAAAGCACCATTATGAACAAGAAATATTCATATAAAAATACTTTCCATGTTGTGAAATTTAACTCATGCACATAAACCAAAATGCTGTGCAGTTCTCCTAAATGATGCAGCTAGCCTCACTAAACAAGATCAGCTGGTATATAAAAATGGAGAGACAATACACATAAGCAAGGATTTTCAGCATTGGAAGTGCTAACTTGCATAACCCTTTTAACCTGCAGCATCAGCACCAACAGATTAATAATGATTCCTTTTAGTTGGCTTCTCGGGGCCTTATCTGAAATCCAATATGTATTTTCCACGCCCAGAATAGAATCAACCACTCCAGAAGTCAGAGGGAAGTCCCGCTCGGTTCTTCTGGGTCTTTTGAAGGACAGAGTCTATCATAGCAATTCAGTTCAGATGAGTGAATGGCATCTATTCCCTGGTCTCACCCCAGGCAGAGGCTGACTGCTAATGCTCTGTGAGCCTCCTTCCTGATCATTAATTTGACACAGCGCTCCTCTGAGTTCTATTCCAATTCCAAACTTTTACTAGGGAAGTTTGTGCTCAGTGAAGTGAGGATCACAGTTAATTTTAGATTATTTATATCATATCCATTGAGAAACACGTTAATAGCATTACTTTGGTTCAGTCGTGATTTTTTTTTTTTCCACCAGGAGATTCTGTTTCATTTTGAAGGGGTTTAATAAAAATCAGACTGACACATTTATACAAGCAACAGTGAATGTCACAGCATCCCTGATTAAACATTTAGGGTGGCATGTCAAATTCTTGGCAAAGTCCAGAATCGCTCCAATTTTCCAGAAGGGATTGGCATATACATAATGTCACCATTTATCACCAAGGTGCTGAGCTGCATTTTTAATGAAAAAGGAATCTCTTACTGCGGTCATTCCTCCCTGTGTATATTTACATAGTATTTAAATAAAGACTAAATTTTAAGGTGAACCGTAAATTGACCAATTGACAAAAGTGTAGGTTGTGGAATCCTACTTGGCATTAAATTTAATGACCTAATCCTATAAAATCAAGATCCCAGAAGCATAAAGATAGCTTACCATTTATAGATCCAGCAACTGATGATCAAAATGCCTTCCATACATTTTTCTTTGCAACTATAGCAGGCAAAACAGTGACCACCAGAGTAGAGGTAGTTTAATCTTTTCCATTCAACCCTTGATGTCACCAATAACCTACCAAAATTTTTCTTTCATGGGCTCATCATTTTAGATTAAAAAAAATCAAAATCAGCTTTTGAAAAATTAGAAAAGTAGAAACTTTCATAATATTTTTTTTTAAAATCTTCATACTTTATAATTGCACAGTCAGTGAAGTGATCTGACTATAAAAATAAGTAGTTGATAGAGAAATATCCATCACTAAAGCGAAATACCTCAACCGTCAGACAGTGTTCCTGGTTCAAACAAACATTCAGGAAACTCAGGCAGGTAAGGTGTAACTTTTTCACTTTTGTCATAATTCATTGTTTTTAGCAATTGAAGTAACACTTTGTATATAGTCTAAAGATTCGATAAAGCTCTTCCCCTGTGCTGATGGTGCAGAGCCAACAGTGCGGCGGTCCCTTCGTCCCTCCCACCTTCCTTTCGGAGGCATTCCTCATGAAAAGTGAGCAGGGAGCCCTTGCTTTATGTCTCCTGTGACGGTAATTCGACGTTCATGGGGGGAAAAAGGCGTAATAAAAAAAACCCAAACCAGCCCGCTGTAAATCCAACAAGTTCACAGGGGTCTGCATGGCACATACCAGTTACGGAGCATGAACTTGTGTGGTCCCTCGAGCTGCTGGGTGTCTCTCAGGAAACGTGTCCCAGGTGTCCCACGTCCCCTGCTGGTCTCCAAGGTAAGACGTCCCACCTGTGGCAGAGCCTCCACACGTGCTGAACTGCTGCTGTGATTCATGCATGCCACATCTTCATGGAGCATGGGCGACAACACAGAGTAGCTGGGACCCTGCTGAGAGTGGTGGAATAAAAAAGAACACAGGTTAATGCGAAGCAAACCCATACAAATATTTCAACTGGAAGTTTTGGTGTTTGTTCAACAATAGACTTGTATAATTGACTTTTCAAGGTTAAAACTAACAATATTCATGATTCCCCAAGAAAGGAAAATCTCAAATCTTGGCACACTCTAAAATCATATTTGAAAATTTGATTCTTAATAGATTAACTTCCTTTAAAGCTAACTGGAGACAGACCTTTTACTTCCTAAACAATATTATACCACCCCCTCAAGACATCTCCATTGTCACAACTAAAAGGACACCTATCAGCTATTTCACCCTGATTATAATTTCTCTCCCCACAATTTTATGCTATGGCATATATAGAATAATGAGGCTCTGTAGTGCAATATACCAGACAAAGAAATGATGGCTAATGCAGTTGTTTCACCACATAAATGCTTCCTGTAATTTATCCATCAAAAGTAGGAAACACTTTTAATTATATTGTTGTACAGCTGCACAGGAGTATTTTATCCATCAGAAATGACACGTACAATGATGGCCTTGTGAAGTTAAATACTATAACAAAGAAAACAATTCATAGCCGAAAGTTCATGAATTTTCATTTTCTCTTTTAAAAAGACTGCAGTAGAAAAAAACCCAAAATCTCTGCTGTGAAATCATTCATTTTTCAGCACTATTAATTCAGTTTACTCTGGCATGAATGCTGATGCTTCGCAGAGCACACTATATCTAAGGCTAGCCATTTCAAGGGTGAAGATGGGAGCAATTTCATTTATTAGATTTCTCCTGTTTCCTTTAATATCTCTTTTGGTAGGAAGGATCATTTAGGCTTTGTTTCAGATCAGGGCTTTTTACTCTTAGTCTTCATTACTGCTGAAAATCTAGAGACCCAACAGCATATTCATTTACTATGCTATAGAATAATTAGTGCCTGAAAGAGTAAAGCACAAGGGAAAAAAGAAAAAGCAACCCTCCCTACTAAAAAGGGACATTAGTCACTTCTCCCTGACATTTTTTTGGCAGCTGACGTTCTGTGTTTTGTAAATCATTGCATCTGAAAGAGCTCGAGCTCTAAGACTAATGCAGCAGGTCAGGGAAATGACCAGAGCAGGAGCAGAGAGGCTGGTGTCACCAGCTGGGTCAGCCCATGTCCCATCGCTCACTCCCGGTGCCCTCCCCGGCAGGGCTGCCCCCCCACACGGCCTCCCCCGCGCGCCTCGGGGAGCCTCGCTGCACGCACCTGAGCACTGCAAGTGTTGGAAACAAAAGGAGTAAGGCCTTTTCTCAAGGCAAGTGTTTTTAAAAAGACTTTGTAATAAGAGGATATGATATCACTATCATATATCAGGACAGACGGCCCTGAAGGGCAAAGATGCCCAGGAAGGCTGGTCATACTTCAAGGAGGAACTCTCAAAAGCACAGGATAAGGCCATCCCCAGGTCCCATAAAATGAACTGACAGGGAAGAAAGGCCAGTCTGGCTAAACAGAGAGCTTTGGCTGGACCTCAGGGAGAAAAGGAAGGTCTACAGGGAAAAGGGGGTCGGCTACTTACGAACAATATCAAGGTGTAGCAAAGGCATGCTGCGGAAAAATTAGAAGGGCAAAAGTCCAAGCAGAACTTAACTTGGCAACAACAGTTAAAGATAATAAGAAGAGCTTTTTTCCATACATCAATAAAAAAAGGAAGGCTAGGGAAAATGTGGGCCCACTAATGAATGAGGTGGGTGCCTTGGTGGTGGAAGACACAGAGAAGGCGGAGTTGCTGAATGCCTTCTTTGCTTCGGTCTTCACTGCCAAAGCTGCCTCTCGTGAATCCCAGACCCTGGAGACAAGGGAGAGGGTCTGAAGAGAGGAAGACTTCCTCTCTGTTGGGGAGGACTGGGTTAGAGACCACTTGGCCAAACTAGACATCCATAAGTCCATGGGCCCTGATGGGATGCACCCACGAGTGCTGAGGGAACTGGCGGATGTTATTGCTAAGCCACTCTCTATCATCTTTGAGATATCTTGCAGAACAGGAGAAGTGCCTGAGGACTGGAGGAAGGCAAATATCACACCAGTCCACAAAAAGGGCAAGAAGGAGGACCCAGGGAACTACAGGCCAATTAGTCTCACCTCTGTCCCAGGGAAAGTAGTGGAGCGGCTCGTGCTGGACGTCATCTCCAAACACATTGAAGATCAAGAAGTTATCGGTATTGGTCAACATGGGTTTACCAAGGGTAAATCATGCTTGACCAATCTGATAGCCTTCTATGATGTTGTACCTGGTTGGTTAGATGAACGGAGAGCAGCAGATGTCATCTACCTTGACTTCAGCAAGGCTTTTGACACTGCCTCCCATAACATCCTCATTAGAAAATTAAGGAAGCGTGGGCTGGATGAGGGGGCAGTGAGGTGGATTGAGTTCTGGCTGTGTGACAGAACTCAGAGGGTTCTAATTAATGAAGCGGGGTCAAGCTGGAGGCCTGTAACCAGTGGTGTCCCTCAGGGGTCAATACTCAGCCCAGTTCTGTTCAACATATTCATAAATGACCTGGAAGAGGGGACAGAGTGCATCCTCAGCAAGTTTGCTGACGATACCGAACTGGGAGGGGTCGCTGACACTCCAGAGGGCTGTGCCACCATCCAGTGAGACCTGGACATGCTGGAGAGCTGGGCAGAGAAGAAGCTAATGAGGTTCAATAAGGACAAACATAAGGTCCTGCACCTGGGGAGGAAGAACCCCAGGTACCAATATAGGTTAGGGATGGATCTTCTGGGAAGCACTACTGAGGAAAAGGATCTGGGAGTCTTGGTAGTTAGCACACTTTCCATGTGCCAGCAATGTGCCCTTGTTGCCAAGAGGGCTAATGGAATCCTGGGCTGCATAGGAAAGAGTGTGGCCAGCAGGTCAAGAGAGGTCATTCTCCCTCTCTACTCTGCACTGGTGAGGCCACAACTGGAATACTGTGTCCTGTTCTGGGCTCCCCAGTTCAAGAGGGACAGGGAACTACTGGAGAGAGTCCAACATAGGGCAACTAAGGTGATTAAGGGATTGGAGCACCTCCCTTACGAAGAAAGGCTGAGGGAGCTGGGGCTCTTTAGCCTGGACAAGCGAAGGCTGAGGGGAGACCTCATCTATGTTTACAAGTTCCTAAAGGGCGGGTTGAAGGATGTTGGAGCCGGACTCTTTTCAGTGGTTTCCAGCAATAGGATGAGGGGCAACGGGCTCAGGCTGGAACATGGGAAGTTCCATTCAAATATGAGAAAAACTTCTTTACGGTGAGGGTGAGGGAGCACTGGAACAGGCTGCCCAGGGAGGGTGTGGAGTCCCCTTCTCTGGAGATCTTCAAGACCCGCCTGGATGCAGTCCCGAGTGATGCACTCTGGGCGATCCTGCTTTAGAAGGGGAGTTGGACTAGAGGATCTCTAGAGGTCCCTTCCAACTCCGACAATTCCGTGATTCCGTGATCCACGTCACAGGAAGCCCGAAGAGCAGCAATGAAAACCAAACCAGTAACTTCAAGCGAGAGAAGACAAAGGGCAAGAGGCAGTTATTAGTTCAGAGACACGAGGCGAGGCCCTTTATTAAAAACATGACAAAGGGCTTGAACGTGATTCTGCAAGAGATATGAGGGCAAAACCACCAGAGCTGAACAGAAAGAGATAAGCGCGGGAGAAGACAACGTATCAAGTATCCAAATTTTAGATACAAAGGAAGAAGGGACAAAGTGTCCACAAGGATGTGAACAGAAAGGAGGAAAGGACAGATTTTGACGATAAATGGAAATAAGGCTTATTGAGCTGCAAAAGAGAAAAGAGAGGAGTCAAGAATGGCACCAAGTGGAGCAGCCACAGCAAAGGGAACAACAAAGCTCACGCATAAAAAACACTCGCCGTCGATCTAGTCCTACGGCACCCCTTCTGTCACCCTCAGCCCCACGGCAGAGCTGCAGCCCTGCTGCTTTCCAATGCCAAACGTCACCACTGATTCTGGAATTTGCACCAGCAGGTATCGGAAAATGTGCTGCTCACACTGCCTTTAGAGGTCTTTAGGGAACAGAAACATTTTCTGTAGCAGCAACTAAGGGCTGACAGATGCAATAAAACTTTCATGGGAAGATCTCCATCTCACCAGCACAAAACTAGTACTTTAATAAAGATATATTCATTTCTGCAAACTTACAGAATATTTATCTACAAACCTCAGGACCAAATACAAACATTTCTTGAGCAGTCTTACCATGTATCTCTTTCTGCGATGTATTGATTTTGTTTGGAATGCATTGCCTGGTCTTAGACCTAATACAGAATGAAAGGAAAATGCCATCCTAAAGGTCAAATATCCAAACTAAAAAGAAGAGTTTTAGAAATAGGAATTAGAACCAAATATATTAAAAAAACCCAAATGTTTTTGGCTGACAACTACATACTGTAAAGAAAACCTGGTCAAATTTAGAGTGAACTTCAGCAGCTATTAAAAAAGGATTTATTAAAATTACCAGAAAAAAAACCCAAATTTCTTTTGTACATGAAACTATAAACCCATTTACTTGTAAAACCAATAACATATTTTGGAGGTTGAGGAGTATTTCTGACAATGATTGGTTTTTCTGGGTACTTTTCATTGTATTCTTTTCCAATTTTTTGTTGAAATACAAGATTTCTGTTACTAAGATATAAAACCAGAGAGGTCCTAACATCCGACTAGTGGCATTCAGTTGGACCAGGGTGTCAGAAAAATGCTTCTCCTTTAACCAAGATGAAAGAATTAACCCTGCCTTTTCCAAACAGCTCCCATTTATATTTCCGTTAAAGCATCCAATTCTCTCACCAGACGCATGGCTACTTACGGTGACAGTAAGTTCAGTGCTAGATTCAGCACAAATCTGTTCCTGAACCCGAGCAGCCAAATGAGACTGAAGTGACATATATAAATACATCTATTTATCAGAGTATTAGCTACACAGTAATCTATTTCAACCCAAGTTCCCCCTTTTGAAGTAGTACATTAAAGGCTATTTCTTCACATTGTGTCTGAAATAAGATCCTCTCGTTCACAGATGTGGGAACTGAACTGGAACCCCTGGAAAATGCAGTCGCTATATGGCAAGGAACGGGGAATAGCCCCAGCCCGGTTTGCTTTCTTTACCATTTACTCACACTCTGTCAGACATTCAAGTGTGCAAACACAAACAGAATGAGTACGTTTGCTCAAGAGACCGGAATCTCCTGTGCACCGATACAATACGGGACAATTATGGCTTCATTAGTTTTAAAAGATGAGGAGACAATTATTTCTCATTTTAAATGAGCATAAAGTAGTAAAAGTGAAGCTCCGCAGCTGTTAGTTTTGTTTCTGTACCCATATTTCAGCTCCTTGATCTATATAATTTTGTATTTTCTAATTTTTGGTTGTCCAGGGCCCTTAACTCTACTTTGTATGTTTACTTTAAATAAGCATAGCAAGGTATTTCTAGAAAGGTCTAAGTTTCTGAGTTTTCAAAAAAAATCTGTTCTCATACGCAGAAAAGAAGGTATCATGTAAGTTCCTACTGTTTAATATTAGGCAAGTAAGAAAGAATGCCTTTGGGGGTGGGGAACCGCCTGGCATTTTCCTACAAATATTAAAAAAGACAGGATTATGAGCAATGCAGAGAGTGACAGCTTCAGGAGGCTTGCTAGTCTCCATGGGTATTTACTGTGCAAAAAGAAAGCAGTATTACATGGATAATGATATATGGTAGAATTTATAATGAATAATAAACTTGGAATTTTTTGACCATTTAATAAAAGATATAAATACTTATTAAAATTTAGACTGTGATTAAAAAGGAAAAAATACAGAAGCTTTATACTTCTTTGGAAAGTTCTAAGGGATTTATTTATCAAGATACGAAAAAAAAAATAGATTAGGAAAGAGTCTCCCAAAAGCATAACAGCATCAGAATATGATTTCTTAAAAGCTGGACTAATATAATCATCAAAGGACTCCATTCCTAGCAGCATCCTCTTCCTGGAAACTAAATCCATAAGCATACCTGATGGACATTTCCTTAAACAGCTTGTGTGCTCTCAGGCTGTCATATAAATGACACACTTCTCTACTTTTAAATAGAGCCAGTTTGATTCTGTGAGATAAAAGCCTCCCAGGTTTGTGTCAGTGTAGCGCCGCAGGCAGGGACGGTGACGCCGGGCGCTGTCCTGGTGTCTGGGGAGGTGTGAGCAGCTGCTACGTAGTGACCGCTCTTCTGCGACACAGAAATCAAACCAGGAACAGTTTGGTTCATTTGGGTGTGCACATATGTATGTGTGTGCGTGTGAATACAGTAAAACTTGTATTCAAACATATATATATATATGCACACATACATTTTTCACTCTAAGGAACAGCGGAGAAATTAAATGAATGATCAACGTTTCAAATAAATAGATAAAAGAGATGATCATTAGTGAGACGGGGCCTCCAACAACCCATCTGCTGAGCCGGGTGCACAGAAACCACTGGCCAATTGCCCTAACAACATAACAAAAACTGCATCAAAGAACTGAACTGATGGACAGGCTGCTTTGGAAGATAAAGGAACAATTACAAATGTAATTTCAGCAAAGCCCTTTCTAAATGTATCCCACAGAGAATGAAAAAACTCTGTTCTGATGAGAAATTTTGTAAAATTTATTTCATGGCTTCATTAAGGGCTTTGTTTAAAGCCCATTAACAACCAGGGACAGGTTTTCAGCTCACTTCGGGGGTCTCAGAGCACAGTGGCTTTTGCTGAAAGAGGACAGATACAAAAACCTCCTCTTTTAATTTCTGTCAGTAAATATTAGAACTGTGGAACTGTGAGTATCACCTTTGGTATTTCCTTTTTTTTTTTTTAAACGATAATTCTGACAAAATAGAATCATTAAGGCTGAAATTTTCCATGCAAGACTACTTTAATTGGTTTTGTCTTGGTTTTAGCATTAACAGTTCAGAGAAAACTTGCTGTTTCCTAATATTAAAAGAAATTCCTATTGATGATTGATTCTCACCAACTATTAATTGGAAAGCTACAGAAATTCTGTGCTTTCAAAGCAGGCAGCTAAGACATAGCAGGGAATGCTCTTCTAGGAAGCAAGAGCTCACCTATGGAAATCTGCCCAAATCATCTGCTTTTAGAAATACAATCCTCACGTGCTCAGAAAAGACAGCTTTTCTGTAGCTGCTACACTTCATTTGTACTAAGAATGCTTCAGACTGAGACAACCAGGTATTTTCCTGGCAGCATCTAAGGATCACGTAATGCCCAGATCTGCTAATTAACACCAACAACGGGAGCCTGTCTCCTCAGCCTCGGCTCTTCCTTCCTTCCCCAACCACAGCTTCTCTGGAACAAACCTGGGATTATGGCAACAACCCAGGACCATCTCATCTCAATTAAAGCAGCTGAATGAAACCCCACAGAACTAAACCACATTCTTTCCTTAGCTGCTGAATTCCCATCTGCTAATGAACAGGACATCTAAAATAAACTTTTCGTGGATGGCAGTTAAATATGGACTCATAATTAGTGATGACCAGATTTCTGACCTACGAACCCAACGCGCAGCCGCAGTGAACAGTCATACCTGCAAAGGGGTCCAGCAGGAGCTTCAAGGGACTGTCCCACCCGGCTATTTGTAATGCTGAGCAGTCGGGAGAGCGGGTCACCGGCAGCTCCCGTTGTCAACCAAGCTGAAGGGTGCTTTGACCTTCATCTCCACGTGTGACGGCGCATGACAGCACCTCACCTTCTCCTCCCGCGAGGCGACCTGGAAATAAGTATTTTTGAAAAAAATAAAGCAGGGATGTCTGGCACAGCAAAGCAAGGAAAGACAGTGTTGGAAATTCTGGAGTTGGAATAGGCTGATGCAATGCAAATGGAAGTAGAGAAAAGCAAAAAGAAATTCACAAATTCATCTCTTGAATCCAATCCCATTTTAAAGCCTTTGAATCTCTTCAGGAAAAGCAAATTAAACAAACAAACAAAAAAGAATAAAAATCCCTGAGCATTTCTAAAATGTGAAGGTGGGTTGAACTGATTTGTCCTTCCTGAAGTCCACAACTAATGTGCGACACATCAACGAACAAACAAAAAGACAGAAAAAAAGATATCCATCCAACTCTCTCTTCTAGGATGGGATTGGCTAGAGTGCAGAGAGAACCGATTTCTGTTCTTCTACCTGCCCTCCAGACCATAAGAGCTGGAGGATCTTTGACCTTGACTTAACTGCGGGTTATTCACCCATATTTTAACGCAGTATAAAGGACTGATGCAAATCTGGGAATTTTGTTAACTTTGTTACTTTTTTTTTAAACTAATATTGTTTATAGTTATGCTTGCTACAAATTAAATACACAGCAAATTCAGTATGTCACTTAAAATGACACATTCATTCCTGCAGTAATGAAAGCGGACATAATACATTTTTTCCACCGTAGTAATTCTGCTCCCCTTTTAAACTTAGGCTCAGGGAAAGTTCTGCACACATCTGTCTCTGCAAACATCTTTTCTTCTCTTCAAAAGAAAGGCAGGTTCTCTTCATTTGGTTCCTCTCTTGCTTTTACCTTCTCTCGCTGCTCTACTCCCAATTGCCATCGGGACACCCACTGCCCTTTTCCTCGGAGCTGGGAACTGCAGACTGCCCTTAAGACTCAACAGGACTGAGTTAACTGTGGGGTCACCCTCCACTCTTCAGCTGGCACCTTCCGGAGCCACAACAGCCCGAGCAGGGTCACTCCCCCTCACTGCTTGGAGCTTCAAGCTTCAAAAATCTTCAGACTCAACACGGAGTTTGGTTAAAACCAACAATTCTTGCCTATTCCTGTCAATAAATCTAAGTCATTAATCACTTTCTAAAGCTTCTGACAAAGCAGATTGATCTAAACTTAAATCAGCAAGGAAATCTGAGATTACTTGCGACAGACACAACACTGCATTCCACAGGAACGGTGGAGAAACTCTCCACTCAAGGCAGCGACCACATTCCTGCGATGAGAGCAAACCACAACTCTGCTCACGCTGCGAATGGGCTCCAAAAACAGACCTATGAAAGGAAAATACATAATTGGCAAAGCTGCAAGTCAGAATGAATCAGGTCATTAGTTCGGAAACCCCAAGGAGAGCTTAATTAGATATGAATTATCTACTAATTGTGAGTCTCTCTGATGCACATTTGTTTGGACACCTATTACTCAGGGTCCCTACCACTGTTCTAACCTTAGAGCCGAATTCAGAGCATCCCCTCCGAGCCCCGCGCTGGCTCCCAGCTACCGGCACGTTACACACAATTCTGAGCTGCTAACGGGAACAGCAACACAGCTGAGTTCTTCCTAAAATATTTCTGGCATATTTTTAGGGATTTTATTTCTTTTTTTCAAGTACATTTGGGTTGAAGAAGTTTGACCCTAGGTCTTTAGATGTCTTGCAGGCTCAGGTACCCACTCCTGGTTATTTTGGCTCACATCAATACCTTTTCACTCCCACACCAGCCAAAAACTTGGCTCTTTCTACGTGTGTGCTAAATATTCCTGGGCACAAGGAAGTTTCACCTTCCTTTCAACTTTTCACCAACTCTTCTCTGCCTGACATAAAATCTAACTTCAAATCTAGGATAAACTGTCACATTTCAACACAGTAGACACAAGTATAAAAATATAAAACAAGCACAGTGGCTTTTGTTTCCTGTTAGGCTCTGAATTTACCTCATCCAGGATCCTAATATGTCAGTAAAAGGAGGAACTCACGAACTGTCCCTCTAGAAAGAGTACTCAATACATGCAAGCTGTACATTTTGATAAAAAAATTACTTTGATTACTAAAAGTAGAAACCTACCCCTGTATTTTTGGCACATACCTAAAGAATTGCCTGATTGTCAGCACTCAAAATTTCCATGTAGGAAAAATAAGCTTGTGCTACTTGCCATCAAATACAGATCAGTGAACCAAACCAAGTGTTTGCAAACATTCACTGCAGTATTTTTTCCCTTATAGGTACCAAGAGATATCATTCTACTTTTTCTCAAAAGACATATTTATGAATAGATTAGAGAAGAACTTGTCAGAATAGCAGGCAGGCATAAAAGAACTTTCAGGGTCTCCAACAACAACCGATTTCTGTTTCTGATTTTAAACATATCTTAGACTGAAAATTTGGCCTATTTTTCGTCTGCCGGGCCGTTGCTGTGTTGTGGTTTGGGCCGGACTGGCCCTGAAGCCATCGTCTCAAACGCAGCGCTGGAACAGAAAGGTTCTTAGGGTGTGTGGCACCACGCACAGGCACACCAGGGACCCGCGGCAGACTGGTGACTTATATTCCACTGCACTGGAAATTAAAAGGAGAAAAAGTAAGGCTGAAAAGGGGGAAGAAAAAAAAAAAAAAAGGATAGCTTCCCTTAAACTTAGATGAGATGTTACCAAGAAATAATCAAGCTGGAACTTATTTGAACTTCTCTGTCTAAATCAATAGTGGAGTAGTCTGTCTTTGCAGTGATAAGAGGGTAAGGCTCAGCCTTTCTGTTGGGCTCAAGGCAGGAGTCGCAGGTTGAAGTGTAATCAAAAATTATCTTCTGGCTTTTTCTTTTTTTCCTTCCCTCCTAGAGATGAAGCTCCAATCGATGGTCTCAGAGCTTCAGATTATCTGTCAGACAGGGAAAAGCTGTCTCAAGCAGCAAGGACCTCTAATCAAATATTGACAGATGAGATGTTCCAGGCGATAAAAATAGATTTAAAATCCAAAGTGACATTTTTTGATTAGAATCATAGCCTAACTGTTAAAGTCATGATGTAAGATAAATGATACGGTCTAAGCCTTCCAATCAATTTATTACCTTTCCTAAATATAATGAATATGAGTTTCCTACTGAAGCCAAGGTCAAATCCACACAAATTAACCTAAATAGCTTCATATTTTTCTCTAGATTGATAAAAAGACATCTGTTCATGATAAAAACAACTTCTACTTGATTTGAAAAAGTTTCAAGTTTGAAAGATATAGAGAGAGAATAGGAAATACAGGTAGAAATGGTCATACTCTACAACATTTAACTAGTATTCCATTTTAACTGAACCCAGGGGAACCCTGAGGTATTTAACAGCTCACCTAAGGAGACTTCTCTATCTAGAAAACATCGATCAGCTTCAAAAGTCAGTTAAAACTTCACTTAAATTAATGCAGTAAATTACACTGTTCATAGGAGTATATGAGGTAGCAAGGATGAAACCACAACTTAAACCAGAAAAAAACTGCCACCAACTAACCACCAAAAAATTCAATAAGAATGAAAAGAATTCTACCTACTCAGAATTTAATAGCTTTAATATAAATCCAGTTGGAACTCATGGGCACAGAGCTCATAGCTCCAAGCAGAAGCCTACTAACAGATGCTTTTGGTGGAGGAAAAAAGGGAGAAGCATGCCTTCAAACACATCCCCCCCTTTATGACGTGGGATTGAACCAAACGGGTTTAAATTAATATAAAAATGTTACCCTTAACATGGAAATGGTGACCATGACACTGCTGTGCTATAAGAGCATTTAAGCCCGCCCATTGTTTGACTTCCTAAAAGCACAGGACACTTTGTAGCTTAAAAAAAAAAAAAAAGGCTAAAAAAAAGATGGAAGTCAGGGTAAGACAAATGAAGGTGGAAGCTCTGCTCTGGAGTCATGAGACAAAAGACTGTGTAGATCAGTGTCTCGAGGCCATACCTACCCGCCCAATACCAAGACTAAAATCCGACTATGATTCAATACAGCTACTATAAAACATTTTGGTTTTATAGGTTGAATGTATTATGGAACACATGGAAACTTAAAGTAGAATTTTACTTTAGATTGATGAACTATTTTCAAAGCACTGCAGTCACATAATCTAATTCACATGAGAAAATGCACCAGTAGACTAGCTTTTCTTTAAACTGTTAAAACGGTATGCAAAATAGACACCTACATATTCATGCAATGGTGTGCTAACTCAAGCTCAGTATCTGTCAAACTAGGATAAGATAGAATAAACTTCACCTCTTCAATTTCATTTAAAAAATATACATTTTGGAATAAACATGGTGCCAGCGATCAACAAATTTAACATCTGGAGCAATTATTAGATAGTTTAAAAATTGAATGTATATACCCATTGTACGTGTATAAAAATATTTAAAAACTGAGTTCCCAACTATATAAGCAATAATTTAAATGAAAGATTTTTTCATTTATTAAAGTACAATCAAAAGAATATAATGAAAATCATCAAAGCTAACATAATAATTGTAATAATAACCACAATAATAATCCTATTATGGACACTAGGGCAGTAACGGTATCTAACAGTCATCAGGAGAAATATATTCTCCTCTCCAGCCTCCTTACAACATTCAAATAAAACACTATGGAGACAAAGAAAGCTTTGTAACATCAGCACAGAAGACAATTCCCTATATTTTCAGTATCATTCGTCAAGAAGAAATTTTTTTCAGGTTATCAAAATAATTCTGGCAAGTCATCACTTGCAATTCAGTGCATATCCAAAATTTAGCTAAAGACATTGTCCTGTGACTTCTCCCTTGCAACACTCACGAAGATTTTACCTGCTTTGCCTGTTTATAGGCTTTGTTGTTACAAGACCCTCATACTCCTTATAAGCAAAAATTACCAACGAATTAAGTCTCACAGATCCATTTGAGGCAGAAAAGGACATCCAGTTTACAGATAGGGAATTTCATTAATTCCCTAAAGTCAAAATCAAGGTCATATGTAGCCAGCTGTAGAATTGCTACTGAATTACAGATTAATCTCAACCTACAGTAAAGCTCATGTTAAATTGAGAGAAGGCAAATTTTGCTTCAGTCTCCAGATTCCCAGTGCTGGGCACTAACTTCCAGGTACGATGTTTTTGAATTAACAAAATTGGCTTGAATTAAAAACACTCAATGGCCTGATCCTTTTTTTCCTCCCTTGAAGGGTTGGTTCCCAACACTGCTTAGTTTGAGAAATAAAACTATGGCTGTAAAGGAACGAAGATTAAAAATTAGTAACACAGGGGCTAAACCGAGCTACTCCGATTCCCATCCCAGCAATTCCACAGTGTGGTTGCTCTGACAACTGCAGCCATGGCGCAGGGATCTATCTCACTGCATTCCATCTCAGCCAGGCCCAGCCTGGGACCTTTCCACAGATAAACTAGTTTAGATGAAGAGCAAGCGAGGCAGCAGCCCGTCATGTGGATGCCTTTTCTACCCAGGTGTAACACCGCCCGTCATGTGGATGCCTTTTCTACCCAGGGTTCAAAGGACTGGTGTTACAGAAACAAATGTCTTAAACATTTTGGAGTCATAAATTATATATTTTCTAAATCTTTCTCATCCAGTGAAGAAACACACTAATTTTCACACTTTTATGCAGGCATTGCATCATAAAACTATGCAAAGATATCTTCTAATCTCTCCCTTGGTCTTTTTCCAGCCAGTCTGCAGCCAGGAAAGAAATAAAGACCAACCTATGGTGGAAAGGAGGAGGCCGAGGTTTTTTTTAAAAATGTACTTAAAAGATGCACTGAGAACATGCACTTGCTTTTTCCTGCACGAACATTTAGACAGCCATACAGGGACGATCTGCTTTCTAATTTATGTGTTCTGATAAAGATTCTCGCTTATCTCCTGCCCAGTGCCTTTTCTGGAGGTTTAGCACCATGACTACACTTAATGGAAGTGATGCAGATAATTTCCTTGTTCTTTCAAACTTCCTTTCTTTTTTGGACCAATTATCCCCAAAGCATTTGGTTAATCAGTAGATACCTACTCTGGCTCCCTCTACAAAGCAATGAACTGTCAAATAAACTGCGTAATTACTACTTCCTGATCTGAGGGCCATTATCTATAGTTCCAATTTTGACAGTTTTCCTTTCACACATAATATTCACAGCCTAAGGTACACCACTCATAAGATATCACATAAACAGGAATGGGCTTTATCTTCACCTGAAAGCATTCTTTTTTTTTTCCACATACATTCAAAGGCATTTCTATCGCTGACTGCAACTCCCTCAACTGTTTTAATGTTTTACTCACATTTAGCTTTGATTGAGATGCTAGCGGTCCCATTCTTCCAGCATTATTTTTAGCTTCCTTTTAGAAACAAACCAAACAAAACAACCCTTTCACACCTTCACGTCTTCCAATCAAAAAATTAATTAAGGTGTTATTTAAATTGACATAGATAAATAGCGCAAAAGATTGCAAGGACATTTACTTAATTAAAAATGAGGCTTATTTTATAAACCAGACTTCAATTCAGCTTAAGTGAATTCAAACCAATTAGAACTGGTGTATTTCCTGTATTTATATAAGGCTCTGGATGCATCTGGAAAGCTCCTCGCACTCTGAGTATGCCACATTACCTGATAAAGATATTGGCCATATTGCTTCGAGAAACTTTAAGCAGAACACTCCATTAGCCATTATGAAATGGTCTCATTGGGCAACACAAATACTTACTGTATCTTTGGTGTCAGTTCAGCAATTTCTGCTACACAGTGGTATTTTTTTTCACCTCCATAGACAACTCATTTGCAGGCAACAACAAACACCTGGATGGTGACACAGGCATAGTTTAAACTCTAACAATTAATACAGCTCTCGGGTTATTTTTTTTCCTTGTGTAAGCAAAGCCATACAATGGCACCACACTTCCATGAACAACTTAAATTCTTTTTCTTCATACTAGCTGCCAAATCGGTTGCTGCTCTTTCCTTTTTTTTTTCCCCTGCTTTTTTAAGAATAATGTTAAGATGAGAGAAATTAAACGTAGGTTCAACAAAGACAATAGCAACATGAAGCTGCTCCATAGTTTTTGGGCATTTGGAAATGTCATTCTCACAAACACAGCAAGTGTCAGAACACCAGGGTGCCCAGAGCCCCGACTGGCTTACAGTGATTTATTCTAAGCAATAATTCTGCATCCCTGGCAGCTGCTGGAGCAAGGCTTTGCTTGAGGCCTGTGCACGTACATACTGGAGTTAATGGAGCAGCAGCTCATGCTGCTCCGAACAGCTGGGGGTGCTTAACTTGGTTTTCTCCACAGAATTTTTGGATTTCATTTATTTCTGGCAATTATGGAATGCAATGAAAGAGAGAATGGCGAGTGTAGAGAAACAGAGCAATGTAAAGCAGGGAAACCTGGAGCTAGGTCAACAAAACATGCTCCTCTGATGATGTAGGTAATTTATTTTTATATTTTACACTGTTTTACCTGTTGGTGAGGACCGGGACGAGGGATGCAGAGGGTGTTGCCACAGCTGGAGAGGGGCTGAAGGCAGCTGGTGACACTGGAACCTCTGTGGTGCTTCATGCAGGCGGGTTCTGCAGCTGCCTAATTCCCTACGGAACCTCCCCTTCCTCATGAATATTCCTTTATTCCATGTACCTCCTCCAGAGGGGCTGGCAGCATCACAGGATCCTGTCTAGCACTCTCTGGGGTGTGACTCGCCCCGGCTCTGTATGGCAGCTGGAGCTCCGCAGTGACTGCGCGCTGCGGGGGCACCTTCCATCGCTCTCCCCAGCCCCTCAGGCTCTTCAAGGGAAGGCAGCAGCTGCATTTTGCCATTCACAGTCATTTATGCCTAAAGGCTCATGTTTCCTGTCAAAAGCTGGAACCAGTGATTGTATATGATTTTTGTTCTTTAGTTTAACTGTACATCACCGATATGTTTTCATAGCATTTTCCATCTCGTAATGACTTTATTGATCCACTCTTCAGTCTTTCATCTTTCCATGCACCTAAGTACGTTGTAACAAACTTCAGCTGATCATTTTGTACCTTAAATTGCACATAAATATATATTATAGAGCTATTCAATAATCACTCAATATCAACAGTCTAACTATACAAGGGCCCAAGACAGAGCCAGGCATCCTTAACTGTCACTGGAAATAACTACAGCTAAATAGGAACAGAACTAGGTTGCTATCATCTGCTTGGGCTGTCTCCCATTCCAGAAGCAAAATGAAAAGAAAAGAAAGAGACATGAAAAAACTAAGAAAACATGAAAGGAAATTAAGCATATGATCACAAGAGCAATCAGTAAAAAAATTTACTTTCTTTTTTCTTAATAATGGTATGAATTCATAAGCAGTGACTTTAACCTTTACATTAATTTTTTTAAAACATATTGTTTGACGATTAGGAACTTTATGCTCTTACAGTCTAGACATCCTCATCAAGACAAACTGTAAACTAAATATACTTACTTTCCTCTGATATACTGTCCTCTTTCTCTGATGGTTTTCCAAAGAATCAAAGATATTTGTGTTGAAATGAAAGCTTCTTCTACCGCACCCAGGCTTTCAGTTTCTATCCCATTCTACTGCTACTCAGCCCACAGTGCTGGATGTCTAATGTTGCTAATATCACTTCCATAGCAACACACTAAGATACCATAAACTTGGCATTATGGCTTTATTCCTCAATTAGGTGTAAGGAGGAGCTGATTTCAAAAGGCAGCTCTTGTTAGAACATACATATACATAATCATGGGAAGCGGGATACAGACAGTGGCTTTCAGAGGACTGTACGTCTGTCTTGCAAAACAAGTTGTCCCTCTCCCAGTCTGACCAAGAACAAAGAACTTGTTTTGTTAGTGATGTTTGGAACAGATTTCCCCAGCCGTCCTTAAAAACAGTGGCACAGAATCACAGGTATTCAGTTTCTAGGAAAGATAACACTACTTGCATTTTTCACCTGCTGGATTCAGTCCATTGCACATTGGATTCAACACAGTGTAAAATGAGGGGAAAAACTGAGTCCATCCTTTGAGCTGCAAATATTAGGAATGCACAAATGAATGAATGAATGGGAAGGAATTCAACTTCAAACAGTGGCAAGATAATTTTATCAATAAATCTTTTTACTTTTAAACACAAAATGTAATACATTAAGTAGAACATGTATCATTTTGGTCAGCATTCTGGCACATCTTATGATATATAATGACTAAGGGCAAATGTGCTTCACTTGTTACTTGCTGGCTGGAATCCTAAGTAAAATTGCAGAAGGAGGGTAACAGGAGGAACCACACACAGGCTGTACCACCACGAGCTTTGCAAATGGCTCAATGCCTCAGAAATAAAGGCGGTACTTCAAGACTAACTAAATCTACATTAGTTTTTCATTGGCAACAGTCACAATCACAGAGGAAAATACTTCCCCTCTGCTGGTCTCAACACAGGTTTCTCTGGGGTTCATCAGGAAAACAGAACATCCAGATCTCTTTGTTAGGAATTAGTTTGTGGGAAAGGAAGACCCATTGGCCTATTTCTAAGGCATTCAAGGACGTTCCTCTTCCAGCTCTATAATAAAAGGGAATGTTCTGCAAGGATGAATTCAAGGTCAAAAAAAAACCAGAAAAAAAGTATGAGCAGCTTTCAGCAGGGAACACTTCAGGATCTGTACTAGCACCTGCTTTGTTCAATATATTCACAACTTGTCTAGAAGGAGAAGAACAAAGTTTCACTATATAAGGTTATCCAGGATAGTGACGATAAGAGCAAACTGTGAACAATTGCAGGGGCAAAAACACCCAAAAAGACTGAGTAACTGTACCATAAAATGGCAGACAAATTAGGTGTAGCAAGACAGATATACAGTGATGCATATGGAAAAAAGAATCTGAATTTCACACACAAAACAATGGACTCTGCTTTCCCAGGAGTGGTGTCTTGGGGTTTTCACTACATCAGCTCAAAGCTCAGCAGCAGTGAAAAAAAATGAGCTTGAATGCAAGAAAGAATAAGGAAAAGAACAAAACAGAAAACATTGTCATGCTGTCATGGAAATGCTTGATGCACCGGTGCCCTGAATACTGTACGGATCACAACTCAGCATGTGTCTGGAAGAACTGGGAAAAGTCCAGAGAAAAGCAACTGCTATGACTTAAGACTTGGATTCTTCTGTTGATAGGAGAAAAGATGGGCATTTATATATTATAAAAAAAGGTAAGAGAGGTAAAAGGAAAACAATAGTTAACAGTCTTTTCCATGAAGTATGGAAGATCAAATTAAATGTTTAGGGATCAGGATGCTCACCTGTTTACTCACCCGTTTTCAATTCCGTATTGTTTCTTGCGGGGTTTAAGCACTCAAGCCCTTGCTGAACCAGCCGCAGAAGTATGAAGGTGACAGGCTCTGGGGCTGAACTCCATTCTCCACTGGGACACTGCCAGATGATGTTCTGAGGAAGTTCCTCTTCCCTTTGCTCAGGAATCGGATCAAGATCTAAACCTGATGCACACTGAGTACACCGATTTACCCAGCTGCTACAGATTCACATCACCCTAATTTAAGGCCAGTATGACATTCCTAAATATGACAACATTCCAGAATTAGATAGAAAAGGAATCTGCAAAGGCACTCAGCAAGGTGCTGAGCATCCAGAGCTGACACTGAATGCTCAAAGGCTTGTCACTGGTTACTGGTTCCAACAGGGACTCAGTGAAGTTGCACTCCTGGGCATTAATTCTGCAGAAGTGAAAAAATGCCAGTTATGTAACTTCGGTTTTAAAATTCACCCACCAGAACAAACGGCCTGTAAGGGACTGTGGTAATTCTGAGATAATACCGTGACAGCACTTACGCTATTTCCTTCATTGACCATGAGGTTAACCCTGTTTTAAAATACATGGTTTTTTTCTTAAAACCAAGAAAAAAGGAGGAAAATCATTGCATGTACTTCTTCAGTTCTTCCACTTCATACTCAGTACAGCTCTTTTCCTGCCTAAAACGTCAAATATTGCCTCAGCACGGCACTATTCCTTAAACATATTTTCAGCAACTTTGTTGACACAAGTGTTTTACTTTTGCAGATAGAAACATGGCTTTTCTATGTTGCCAAAAGGAGCTTTGAAACACAGACATATTTTCATGTGGCCCTCATATATGTACCTTCAAATGCACAAAAATAGGACTCTCTCTCCTGAATGCCACACAGTTCTATTAGCTGTTGTCACTTGCCCTCCCCTAGAAGTTAGCTGCTACAGGATAGCAGCAGGCCCAATGCCACACAAACTACCATTGCATATTACCATTAAAAACAGATTTCTTACCAAGAATAGTTTAACAGAAAGTAAGGTAGAAACCCATTTCTTTTTAACCTTCTTAAAATAATCTGTATTCTCAGTGCCATTTCTACTGTAAAATCATCACCTGGTCTTTTTCTTTTCCACTAATATTTGCTGTTTATTTGTTGATTCTGCAATAGCCAAGCTATAAAAGTCTGCTTCCTGTACTGACTTGCATTATTTCACCGGAAATGGTCATGACACTCCTTTGCTTAGCAGTTGAAAAGTCTACTTCAATAACTCATTTATGCTGGTATTTGTCACTGATTCCAAGCCAGTGCTTTAAAAGCTGGTGCATTTGCAGCTTTACTTCTCTTTCCTGAAGAGGTGATTTCCCCCCTCAAGGAACTCCATATCTATTTCTCCTTAGTAAGAAAATGAATGAGAAGACAGGTGAGTAGCAGAAATAAAACACCCTGCAGATGAAGAACACCCTGACAGAACAGCTTATTTAAAAACCAAAAGCAGATTTCAAAGCATTGGCTTTAAAAATAGACCCAAACAGGATGAATGAGCTAAATATTTCAACTCCTGCAATTTATATTTATTTTAAATATTTTGACATAGTTTTCAGTTCAGAATGATTTTTCTCTGTTTCTATGATAATGGAAATTGTAATGAAATACTTTATCTACCTTAGTGAGAAGTCTCATCTTGTCTGACTGGCATTTGATAAATAGCAGGAGCACAGACTGGGGAAAAATTGAAATAACTAATAGATAAACTTACTTATAGCTGGAACCTTGTATGAATCTTGGAATAAGAAGCTCTTATTGATATAGTTGTCAAAAGATCAGGTCATAGAAAAAGTTTCTCCAGTTTTCTTTTTCTCATAACAGTCATTTTTCAATATCTCATTAGAATTTTTTGGCATGTTAACATAGTCATCCCACACACCCACATTCTAAGCCCAAATTCCAATGATATTTTCTAAGTCAGGTACAGAGTCAACAGCTGAAGAGAAATTGCTCCTCTAGATGAGTCTAAACTTAAAATTTCTTCCTAATAGTGGGCTGTAAAAGACACCTCTTCCCATGCAGGATGAAAATCTCTTTCAGATACCCCTATTGCAGTCAATAAAGTACTTTTTAATATTGCTGATGTGGTAATCCTTAGTAAGAGAGTAATACGTTTAGAGGTAGCATATCTCACATTCCCATGCATGATACGCACGCCTTAAAATGCCTGCAGCTTAGTGTTCTTCAGTGGTTTGCATTTTTGTAATAAATACATTATTTCTACTAAGCATATTTTATGTGTGACTATTACAAAATATATGACAATAAAACAGTAGCTAAGACCATTTGGCGGTAAAAAAAATGTATCTGTTGATGAATGCAAAGACAGCACAGAATGAAGAAGACAAACATGAAGCAAAACCACTTCATGGCTACTCACCTTTTGCTTTTTCTTTGAACTGAGGCCCACGTCGCAATAGCGAGGTCGGCTCCGTGCTGGGTCTGCACGTGGGGAGAGGTGACACTGTGCTCAGGGGACAGCAGCTGGGGATGCTGCCATTCTCCAACCTGACCAGCCTGTCTCCCCAGAAATACCTGGAAACATGGAGGACTCGTTTTCTGAACAGATATGACCTAGCAAGTAAAATTCAGATTATTTGCCTTATTTTCTAACATATTTCAGACTATATACTGTATATCATATCAGAAACGGAATATTAAATACATTGATTTTTTTTTTTTTATCAGAGCAAGTACAAAGTAACTGTCCTATCTACTGTGCTATGTAGAATGTTAACATATTATAATCTGGACATGGTTTTGGCAGAGTTTTCAAACTAATTTTGCAGTGGTCTGTGCTACCTCAGCCGTCGTTACTGACCCACATGGAGCAGATGTGGCCCAGAGCAGAATAATTCTGGGAATTCTATGATCAGTCTGAAAAAATAATAGGGAAGTAATTGTAATCATAGAATCATAGAACAGTTTGGGTTGGAAGGGACCTTAAAGACCATCGAGTTCCAACCCCCTGCCCTGGGCAGGGACACCTCCCACCAGCCCAGGTTGCTCCAAGCCCCCTCCAACCTGGCCTTGAACCCCTCCAGGGATGGGGCAGCCACCACCATAGTAAAAATGGCTTTAATACAAAAAAACACATTCACTTCTCTTTTCAAGTAATTTTCTAAGTTTTTAATATAGCTACATAAATGAAAGAAAGAAATTTAAAATTCAGTGCTATATATAATATCTGGCACATGACTGGATATATATCTTTGACGTGATAATATTAATAACTTTGTTTCCAGCTTCATTCATTCATCTCCCTGATGAAAAATTCTGGGTGCTATTATTTACAAACTGTCAGGGAGATTCATGGATTAAA